CGCGCCGAAACCAGCACGATACCAGGTACTCCTGAGACCGTTCCGCGTCAGTCGAATGAATCAGCTGGTTGGGATCGACCTGCAAGGGCCATTCCCGCGATCCCACAGCGGCAACCGATATATTCTAGTAGCGGTGGAGTACTTCACACGCTATCCCGTAGCGGTGGCCATCCCCGATAAGACAGCCCTCGTAGTGGCCCGAGCGTTCGTGGAACACTACGTACTGAAGCACGGGATCCCCGAACGAGTTATTACCGACCAGGGTAGTGAGTTCGAGGCAGAGCTATTCCAGGCGCTGTGCCGGGAGTTCGGGATCCAGAAGGACCGAACTACGGCGTACCACCCCCAGGCAAATGGGATGGTAGAGAGGATGAACCAGACTCTAGCCGGGAAGCTTAAACGCATGGCGGCCGCGAATCAACGGGACTGGGACGAACACCTATGCTCTGTTCGCCTACACCACCACGGTACACACATCTACGGGACAGACCCCGTTCCTAATGATGTTTGGTCGTTGAGTCTCGCCTGCCCACAGATCTGCTGTTCGGTGTCCCTCCGCCGCAATGGGAGGAAGGGAGCCGCCCCGTGGAGCACCTGATGGAGACCCTACGAGGAGCTAGGGGCTGGGCCTACCCGCAAGGCGAGGCCGCACGCCAGCGGCAGGAGCAGGGGGCCCGACCCCGAATGGAGCCCCCTTTCTACTCGGCGGGCTCTAAGGTATGGCTGCACACCCCTCGCGTCGGGGCCGGGCAGGCGGGGAAGCTAACCACTTACTGGCGGGGACCCTGGACCGTGGGACGACAGATCTCCCCCTGGACGGTACTGATTCAGGGGGGGGAGAGAGGCCGGGAGATGGTGGTCAACGTCCGGCGACTAAAACCATGGAGGGCGGCCCCAGCAAAGGAGAACCCCGCCGCTCGAGTACCCCGAAACCCCGGGGTCCCCACACCCCCCATACCGGGGGCCTCGCACGGTATATGGGCCCCACGGAGCCCCGGGCCCCGGGGGTTCCTGACCCGGGCCAGGGAGGACGGGGACGACGGCCCCTGAACCCTACTGCCCCCGAGTTTGCCTCCCAGCCCGCAGGTACCAAGGACCAAGTAAAACCACTGGAGTGGAGGAGGAGACCGCCGCCCGAACTCCGGGAGACAGAGCCACCACCCCCGAGGCCGGCCACGAGGACTGGACGAATCCCGCGGACACCGCGGCGCTACCTCGTGGGAGCAACCCAGGCGAGGTGCTCCAGTCAACCCGGGACGGGGACTGGCACCTGGGGGGCTATGTGGTGCCACAACAGCGAAGCCGCTACGTCGAAACAGGGGCCGTCGCTGTGCTGCTGTGACCGAGAAGCCACCCGGCTCCCATCACAGCACTTCAACCGCCACCCCCCCCCCCCCCACCTAAACACACACACACACTCAAGTAGGGCCTCATGGGGAGGGAGGGGGGCACCTGCCCTGAGTTTTTACCCGAGAGCCCCCCTCGTGGGGGTGCTCCACGGTTTCTCAGGGTCAGGGAATTGGCAGGCACCCCCCCCCCCAGGCCAAATGGCACTGCGGCGCCGTGGCTTAACTTAGAATTAAATGACCACGGCGAACTCACTGAGAACCGCAGTGAGGAGATGCTCAAGACACATACGGACCAGCAGACAGGTGGGGAGCGGGGCAGCGTGGGTTAAGCATCTCTACCCATGGTGCACCGCGGGCTAGCGTCTCTACCCATGATGCACCGCGGATTAACGGCCTGACCCCTGATGCACCACGGATGGGCGCTGTGAGGGCTTTGAAAGGAGCATAAAAGGGGACGCTTTGGGGAAGCAAGGGGCCATTTTTTTATTTGACTGGCGATCAACAGGAGGGAGGGATCAGGGAGCCGTCACCTGACTGTTACTCGCACGTCCGTGAGACGGGGCAGAGAACAGCCAGATGCTGGTTACAGCATCATCTATCTGCGACCTCCATCGCTGCGAGGTCGGACCGTAAGTACGAGGGAGAGAGGTAAGACAAAGGGACGAAATTCGGAGAGAAAATAGAGGGCAGACAGGTCCATTAAGTATCAGGCAGTAGCGAGATAGGTTAGACCTGTCCTGCTGGTCCATACTGACACACACAGTCTAGTTCGATACTCGCGGGGAATAAAACCACTAATAGGATAAAGCTGTGTCGTGGTCACTGTGAGTGCAAGGAGGGAGACGGAGTGCTTGGTGTTCGCATCCCGGTACGAGTGTGTACAGAGTGTTGTGTGTTCACGCGCATACGCGGCTGTTTGCAGCGAATAAGGGAGTAGAACGTGCTTAGTGCCGGTACCTGTACGATCGTTTACAGTATTGTTCAGCGCGCGCGTACCTACACGAATATTTTCGGTGGTGCCCAGCGCTTGCGTACCTGCGCAATAGCCTACAGTAGCGCTTTGCGCTCGCGCGCCTGTGTGACAGGGTGGCGGGCGAGCACTCGCGCGATTGTCTAATAGCGAATTAAGCGCCTGGCGTGCGCGAATACGCAGCTGTGTAAACAGCCCGTTGAATCGGAGCAAAGTAATCGCATCGTGTTTGTTTTTGCTTAAGCGCGTGGAGCGTGGGTGGGAGGGAATCCCACGGAGGCGCGCCGCGCCTGTTTATTCCCGTGCAGGACGGGGTTTTACTTTGCGAGCGCGCTCACCGCGACACGCCGCTGTTGAACAGGGTAGCGCATCGCGAGCGCAAAGCGTACGAGCCGCTAATTAAGCTACGCAAACGCGGTCGACATCCCAGGCAGAGGTACAGGGGGGTGAGGCATTAGGGGTCGGTAGTCTGGACCTGACAGAGCAACCGGGGGGGTAGCGGTATGAATGGACCAGGGAAGTCGGTCGGCAACGGCCCCGACAATTCAGCGATGGCGGGGGACGGTAGCCCCCACAGTACCTATGGACGCGCGGGCACGCGTGTGTGTGTGTGGTAGTCTAGTGGTTAGTGCACTGCGCTACAAACCCGGCGACCCGAGTTCGATTCCCGCTCACGGCCACCACCGGTGACGATTATTTAAACCGGTCCTGGGCCTCCTCTAAGTCGACTCAGCCTCAAACGAGTAACTGGTGTGGTGTGTGAACATCGCCACTGGGGAGACAAAGGGGGCCGGGCGTCGTGAATCCATGTCCCGGGCGAAGCCGGGTAGTAAAGCTAGTCTGGCATAATTGTCATAATCCGTTAGATGATTTAATTGCTTATTGTGTAACTGACTCTGTATAAGCACTATAGGTTGTAAAGTTGTAAATATGAGAGGGCTATGGCATGTTTATGTTGAGAAAAATTGGAGTTGAATATCTCATGACATATAGTACTATTAAACGTACTGTACTGGAAGTAAAGCCAAGCACAAACATAATACAACGTAAAAATACAATTACAAAGTTATGGGAAAATTAGCAATAATTTCTATATCGTGAGATTTGCTATCGTATCTTATCGTGAACAATTCTATATCTTAAAGAGAGGGTCTTTGCCTGGAACCTCTGTAAAATCACGAGCATTGATTCAAGCAAGCCTGACTGATGATGAGACACTGCATATCAAAACCGGTCCAGAGATGTTTTCGTACTGAATCAACACTACTGAAATTATGGCACTCCCATGAGGATGTTGGGTAGATGGGATCAGGGTAACAACTTCCTATTTCAACGGGGGCTATGCAAGATACGACTGTGGGCCCCCCTGCTTTCTCCCGATTGTTTTTTACTGAAATAGCTACGGATATTTTTAACTCATATACAATAATATGTCGGCTATAAATAGATATTATGTTAGTTGCACTGTGTATTGGGTTTAGAGTAAGACAGTCTCACAGTGACAGTTTTAATACAAAAATGTAAACGTACAATACTCACATTAAGTTATCGTGCATCTTGCTTTCATGCACATGTCAGTTATCAAACAGCCTGGTGTTCAGTAACAAACACGAGTTGCACTACTATATTTTAAGATGTGTATTTTTCAGAAATCTAATTTTTCATTTGTTACAATGTTTTTGTTACGGTTAATTGAATATTTTTGTTTGAAATGTTTTCTTAACATGTTTTAACTTAGTTTAACCCGTAGGCTTTTGCGACCAATATCATCCATAATATAGGGGTTTTTTTGTTAGATTGCGTAAATATGAATGTGTTGTTAAACCCGCCACCATCCGACACATCCAATTAGTAAGGTTTGTCGCGTAAACATAAAATAACAATTTGTTACTCGTACAGTACACCGGTATGTTGGGAGAGCAAATCCACAACATATACAATCTGAGTACGACGTTTCGCCAGTAATTAAAACTAGCTTCATCTGGTGACAGCCACAAATATTTACGTGATCTAACCCAAAACAACCAATATTATTTATATTTTGAATTAAAGCTTTCGTGACTGCAGGGAATCATATTCTTGGTTCTTTCGGTAAAGTAACGTAGAAGGGAAACAATAAAATAATAAAAATATAAAACAATAAAATTCTCACGACGTTTCGACTGCAACACAAGCAATCATCATCAGGTGTGAAAACCACAGCAAGAAACAATAAAATAATAAAAATATAAAACAATTAAATTCTCACGACGTTTCGACTGCAACACAAGCAATCACCATCAGGTGAGAAGTTGATCATCAGGTGAGAATTTTATTGTTTTATATTTTTATTATTTTATTGTTTCCCTTCTACGTGACTTTACTGAAAAAAAACAAGAATACGATATTATTTATGTTTTAACTGGTTTGTCTGGTTGATTCGGGCCCCCCTTGTGGTCAACTGGGCCCCTACGTGCCGCATAATGCTGCCACCAATAGCTGTGCCCCTGCTGATAAGATGTGTAAAATATTTTTTTTTGTTTCTATGTGGAGAGACCAATGTATGGAGACATAGTGTCCGCTTATCTGTTAACAACAACAACCACGGTGAGTGATATTGAACTGCCATGGATATCCCATGGTGTACACTGCGAATACAAGGCACTCCGTATATCAGGGGTGATGTGCTTGCTGGTGCTTACAGTTAAGAGTTGCCTCCTGTTTCTCCTGTGGGCATGCCCCTTCCGAGATGCTCACATCATCAATCCCAAAGCTGCCTTGTCCGCCAGGCCCTCTCACTGCTTCAAATACAACCTAGCAGAGCGCAGCGTGGGACTCGGAATCAGAATCTTTATTTATCCTTGAGAAATCCAATGAGTTATGAAGATGTTTTTTCACAGATAGTAGGGGTGGGTCAGAAAGTTACAACAAACATTACTCGCACGTATTACCGTAAGCATGGAGGGGACTCAAGTATATGCAAGAGATGAATGTGTGTTATTTCCGGTGGGATATAGACCGACATTCTCAAAAGTTTGATTTAAAGCTTTCGTGACTGCAAGGATTCATCTTCTTGGTTCTTTCGGTAAAGTCACGTAGAATGAGAATAAAACAATAAAACAAAATAAGACAATAAAATTCTCATGACGTTTCGGCCACAACACAAGTATCCTTCTTCAGGTGAAGGAACAGAACTGTTGGGACGACAGCGCTTCATTGACTTTACCGAAAGAACCAAGAAGATTCTCAAAAGTGTTTACCTCTGTCAAGTACTGGTATTTGTATCCTCAAGCAATCCCCAAATCATTTCTAATCTCAGGTCAAAGACACCTGAAACTGCTGTGGTTGATATTGCATCCCTTTCATAAGTTGGTTCACTCCAGTCAGTCGATCATCAGGTCGCGTGTGGTGGGGTAAAGCTTGGGTATGCCCACCACTTCTAAAACGTCTGGTCAATGTGGAAGAGTAGACCAAGTGCTTCTATAGTTGGTTCTCGTGTCTAGTGGAGGGCCCTTCCGCCAGCAGTAGCATGACCAAGCAATCGCATGGCCCCTAGCTTTGCGACTAACTTACTGGGAGATTGAGAGCTTACTTGAAAGGGCCCAGCAGGGTTGACAGGAAGCTGTACCAGGCATTCCTCCATGTGCCGGCTTTTGGACACCCACACATGCCTGTCCTGATTGGGCCCAACTCGAACAAGCACATTTAACATTCCTGCAGCAGAGGATACCACACGGACATCTCACGAGGCATCATGACAACGTATCGCAGCGAGACAGCTGGCTTCCATGTTGCCGACATTTACAGCATATGTAAGAACTCACGCGTTGTGGTTATATGGTGAACTATATTATAACCAGTCACAAGGGCCTAAAAAGCCACGGACTAGTCCCTTTTGCAACGTGTTTCCGTAATTCCATTTAAACAGTCTTCGTCTGCTACACTATGTGGTGATACATCACACTCTTGTGTACATTTTTTGTAGGCTGGAGGTAAATGCCCTCACAATATTAACCATAAACTCAGATTAAATGTGACAGCCATCAATGGAGATAGAGCACATTTGAAAAATACGTTAAGCATCACCATTAATAACATTACATCTTGACTTAAAGCTTTCGTGACTGCAGGAATTTATATTCTTTGGGTCTTTCGCTAAAGTCACGTAGATAGGTTCAAAGAAAATAACAAAAAACTACGACGTTTCGTTTGTGTTGCGATCGAAACGTCGTAGTTTGTTGTTATTTTCTTTGAACCTATCTTCGTGATTTTACCAAAAGACCCAAAGTATATTATTAACATTCTCTATATAGTAGCTATCAATACACAGTTATGAGATGTACTTTGTGAAATAGAGAAATTCATAATTTTAAGTGAAGATGGCATTTATCATACAGATATCTCATCTAATTACACGTTAATGTGAGTGTGAACAGAGAAAATTTGTATTATTTTTAAGAAAATAAATAAATATCCTATTTTACATCGAGTCATTCACGCAAACGCTGAATATTGTGAACCATATTTTAAGATTACAAAAGAGGGACAAGAAGAACAGTGAGATATGGGCAAGACCCCAGGGTACGGGGTAAGCAAAGCACAGCGACAGTAATGTGAATCTCAAAAACGTGAGTCACTTGCAGCTAGGGATGCCACCTGTTCTTGTTTTATTTGGACAGTCCAGAAATTGGCCTCAGTTTAGAGGGGGGCAGGAATTGACAGGAATTGACTTGTAGCGAGATCTGGACGCATCGCGTTGAACTTTTATCACAGTAAAACTGCACGGTTTTCATAGACCGCGACTGAGAAATACGTCCAGATTTGGTCTGTGGGAAAGGTGGTGACCCTACTTGCAAAACTGATAGTCGAGCCGATACAAATGCTGACCCGAGCTGTTCCCACGGCTGTGGAAATTGAACTCCAGGCAGGCGGATTTGAGAATCGTGTCGCTGCCGCTGATGTTATAAATTGGGCTGATGAGACGAGCTCGCTGGCCGGCCTGGCCCTGCTGCGAGGCCTCCGCGTACATCAGGTTACCTGAATGCAGCACAATTTGGGCGAGGAACGTGTGACATTCAATACAACGTAGGACAAGCGTCCGTGATATATACTCACCCGCTCGTCACCCGGTTCAAGCTGGCCTCAGGAAGAGATTTTGAAGTTACTAGACATCGTTGCATATAGTTGTAGTCGACAAGCCAATGTTAAGATCGCTTGAAATAATTTACTTTTAATTCTTATAAATAATCTTAAAATACTATATTTGGTAATAATACATTTAATTATTTCTTAAAATGTCAATGTTTAAGAGCTACTCCATTTCACGATGCGGCAGTTTAAATAGTGGGGCAATTTTCTCAAATCACCCTGCCGCCTCTCTCCACCGATCAGTACACATATTACACCAGTTAGTCAATCGGCAGGTCGCATTTGGTGTTGTAAAATGTGGGTATGTGGTCCACCTCTTCCAAAAAGTCTGGTCATTGTGGAGAGTAGACCAAATACACCCGAGTTCACTGTAGTGGAGCCCATCTTCAGTGGTGTGAGCAAGTGCTTGCGGGGCCGCGTCTTTGACAAGTATAGGCTTGTATCTGTACCTCTATTTCTCATGTTGACAATAATCTGTAGCGGTCACCTCGCAATTTAGTCAGCCTCGACTGGAAGCGTTGATCAGTGAAAGTGGCAGAGGCTGGGGATGCCGATAGACCAAACGGACGAGTGGTGGCAGAAAAATTAGGCGACGCGGGGATGCCAGGGACCCCGGGTGAGCTGTGGGTCCTGGGGGGAGGAGTAGGTCTCGGCCACTCTCCTGCCCCACGGCGCTGCTTCCAGTCAAAGTCATCATGCGTGTCCTGCATGAAGCCACACAGCAGCAGCTCCTCAAACCCACAGAAAGCCTCACCTGAAAAACACACGCACCCATGTTTCATGAGGAGCACGCTGGGGTACCATGGTGTGGTCGGCTGGCAGTGTGTGTCGGAGCGGTGCCGTACCATCAGAGTAGCGGATCCAGCGCATGGCCGAGTCCCCGGGCCCAAAGCAGGTGAAGGGAGTGAGGCGTAGCTGGTGCGCGTGCGGCAGAGCGAGCTCCACAAGGTTGTGGCTCAGCAGGTCTCCTCTCTGCACAGGGTCGGCTATGGCCACCTGCACACTCTGCCATGAGCCTTGCCCACCCTGCACACAAACATTGAGCCCTGCTCAGGCTTTTCTTGTGGTTCGGGCTGGTGACATGGCCCCAGCCCCAGCATTCGAACAACGGTGACATGGCCCCAGCCAGTGACAGCCATGTCACTGTGGTTCGAATGAGGCAGGCCACCATGGTTATTACCTGTGGGTGTTTTAACTACAGGAATACCCGCCGTTTGCTTCACAAGGGTACTTTAAACATCCCTTGATATCATTCGAAACAAGTAGGCCTAATGTATGCCAGCGTCATGGTTCAAGTTTGAAAAATTACCCACAAATTACTCAGAATAGGAATATTTTATTTAGACTGGAGGAGGAATCCAATGAGCTATAGAGGTCTTTTTCACAGATGTCCAGTAGGGGCCGGTCAGAAAGTTACAACAAACACAATACAAAAAACAATGGGAGTGCAAAGTATAGGAAACGTGAGCAAGTCACTAAAATAAATAACAATAAATTAAGTCTATCAGTACAAATTGCACAAGTACATCAATTCCTGCTGATTTTTCAACACTAATATCAAGCTTGGACAAGGTAACACAACAACAGACCCAGACTGTACCAAGACAACAACACAGTCCCTCAATAAAATTGCACGTTAGAATTTAACTATCAATACGTGGGTAAGGATCAAAGTTACAAATCACATTGACAAATGTCGTATCCAGCACTAATCTTCTGCTTCAGATTATTTTTTAAAGGGACCAGCCCTAGCAGGGTTTGGATGAGCGCTGGTTAGCGCGGAGGCACTGCGAGCAGTGTGCGGTGCGGGCTCCCGGTGAGGGAGCGAGAGGGAGCATCAGCCAGCCAGGGTTACCTTGGGGCATGATACGCTGGTTGACCTGCTGTCACGTGACCAGATGATATTGGAGGGGGGCACCGGTGGACGATGGCCGTAGGGCAGTCACGTGGTCCAAAGGAGCTCTCGGGAACCTTCTGATATCCGTAATAGGTGAAGGGAATGAAACTGGATTTTTATTTGAAAATAGCATGATCTTGTGTTTTTGGGGGGATTTAAGAGCAAGTTTAGGAGCAATTACAGTGATGAAAATTGGTAATGAATCAAGTCGAAATCATGTAAAATATTCCATTTGATTCTGTTTGGAGATTTGCCTGATACAAGTGTAGGGGATCTGCGAGCCATTCTCACGCACTCGCACCACGCAGACATGAAATCTCCGCACTTGGCTTAGCACATACCAATCACACACTCTAGACGGGGGTCAAGGGTTAAAGGGCACTGACGTCACACGGACTCGGTGTGCGAGACGGATATGTGGATTGGGAACGAGAGCTGAGATGAAGGGTTTAAAGGGGGCTGTTAAACGCGTGTTCGGGGTTGGTTTTAGGAACGAGTGTGGCTGTGGTTTAAAGAATAAAGAAGTGCGTAACCAGTCTCCGACTCCTCTTCATCTGGTGTCTTGCCTCAGCCGACGCAAGATCCCAAGGGGGGAGACTCAGCCAGAAGACGATCTAGGTGCCCGGGACGAGAATTGAATGGAAACGTAACCGACGAGTTGGGATTCATCCCCCGGCTTATCGGCTGGATCCGTGGCAGCTGCTCATCCCGTGTGGGCACCTTCCTCCACCAACCCGGCGGTGCAGACCCAGCGCCGCCGCCGTCGCATATTATCCTCTAGGGATCGGAGGATAGATCAGCTGTTGGAGTCCTGAGGTCGAACCAGCGGAGGGAACTTCAGCCGCACTGCCTCCCCAGCGAGAGGATGGGAGCCACGGTCAGCCTTCCCAACCAGGCACTCCGCAGCAGCTATCAGGGCATGAAGCAGCACCAGCGACGCAACCAACCATGCATCCTGCGCGGGACCCGGAAGAAAACCCTGGCCTGTCCTCCCGATATACGTTGACAGCAGCAGCAACCAGGGAACATGAATGACTGGAGTGCAGCAGAGAGAAGCTGCCGGGCAAGGGGCAAGGGTACAGGTCTGGAGCGAGATTCAGCCTGAAACTCAGCCGAGGCAGCCCGCAGAGGGCGGACCAGGATGGAGCCGCCAACTGGGCGTGATACAGAGGTTCATGTCCAGATCGGGAGAATGGCGTGCTTTCGTCCGCCGGTTCGAGACGGCCGCCTGGGCAATGAAGTGGATGGAGGAACAAGCCCTAACACTGTGTTGGACGACTAGTCCACTGTGTTGGACGACCATGTTTAACCAGATTCCGCCTGCAAAAAGAGGATCCCTGCAGGGCATCTACAAGGAGATGGCGGAGGTGTTCGACCCTCCGTCCGGGGCGCGCCAGAAGTTTAAAAACCGCCACCGGGAAACATCCGAATCACTCCTGGTCTTCAGGACAGAATTGTTGACGCCAACAGAAGCCGCATTCCCGCGGCTCAATGAGCCGGGCCAGGACTCACTGGTGGCAGAGCGGCTCCTTGCCATGGCGGGACACACGCAAAGTGTGGCACACATTGCATGGAATCGCGGTGACGTTGAGAGGCTGCCACGGCCCGCAACCAGGCACGCGCCGCCGGTGGAAGAGGACGAGGGAGAGATGGTGGCAGCCCTACGGCAATATCCGAGGATCCCACAGGAAGCGGAGCGCCAACCCTGGCGCTGGGCACCTCGCGAGGCAGGAGTGTCACGGAAGAAGTCATCTGCTATCGCTGCGGTCGTCCGTGTGACGTTAGTGTCCTTTAACCCTTGATCCCCGTTTAGTGGATTCCCGTGCATGTGATTGGTGCGTGCTATGCTGAGTGTGGAGATTTCATATCTGTGTGGTGCGAATGCATGAGAATGTCTCGCAGATCCCTTACAATAGTTTAGTGCGTCCAGTTCAGATATGGGACTGAACGAGAAGTAGAGATGATAACTTTCACATTTTTAGGATTGGTGTGCGAAGAGGAAGAATTAAGCGATGTGAACGGGAATGTATTTGGATATATTTTACTCTGGTGTGTCTTGTCAAAGATATTTTAATAAAAAAATGAGAATTAAATCTATTGAAATTCAACTTCCTGTCAAAAGAGAAGCCAGAGCCACACGTTAAAAAGTTAGATGTTAACAAGATTGTCATCAATCAGAGTAACATCCCAATTTCCGAAAGCCTGAAATCGGTACTAGCTAAAAGGTTGAATTTCGATGTCACCCCGCAACATATCCCAGTGGATGATATAATCGCCCAGGTCGACGTAGCCCTCAAAGGCTTTGGACACATCCTGGCAGACGTTGCGAGATCTGAAATTGCTGCTATTCTCAAAAACGCTAAGAAACCCATTAGCAACATCAGCAAGGACAAGCGTTTTGAAATCTGTAAATTAAAAAACAGAGATGACATTGACATCCTCTCAGCCGACAAGGGCAATGCCACTGTCATTATGGATAAAACCACTTACAATAACAAAATTCAGGACCTTCTTAATGATGGCAGCTATACCAAAATCAACAGATCCCACCAACTGCCTAGCCACAAAAAACAACAATATCATCAATACATCGACTTTTCAAAGTCCACCTCAGCTGTATTTAACTCAGCTCACGTTATATTTTTGGTTCTTACGGTAAAGTCACGTAGAAGGGAAAAATATAAAATAAAAATATAAAACAATACAATTATCACGATGTTTCAACTGCAACACAAGCAATCATCATCAGGTGTGAAAACCACAGCAAGAAAATTTCAAAAAAGTGGAGTTTTTTTTTTACGTTAGCACCACGGAGAGCGATTTGGCAGTTATTCAGATGGACAAGTCCATCTATGTTCGGAAAAGAGGGGGGAGACGAAAATAATGGATGCAGTCTGAAAGCCACCGTAAGCGTGAACAATCAATTAAGACCCGAAATGGTTGATCAAATCCTTCCAATAATTGCTAAGCCAGAATCCATCTTCTCAGTTGAAATTGTCTCTGCGTTTGTATATGTGGATAGCCTCATGAACGAATCTTTCATGGTAGCCAGATGGCTTGCAAAGAACCTCTGTTTTGGAGAAGTCAATGTCATGTGAGCCTACTGAATTATAACAGTGATCTGCCACGGCCGAGGTGTTGGTCCTACCGTGTTTTAGGTCTGCTTTGTGTTCACGAATGCGGTCCGAGACATGTCGTTTGGTTTCTCCAATGTAACTACTACCACAGAGGCAACTTAGTTTGTAGACGCATCTTTTAAAGACGGGACCAGATCACGGATTTTATTTGTTTGTCAGTTTCGATGTAGTCTCTCTGTTCACCAATGTGCCTGTACTTGACACCATTGCAATAATTGAAGACTTGGTCCAACAAGGACTGAATCCAGATGTACCAACTTTGGTAAGGCACTGTCTTACCAACACATACTTCACCTGGAATTGTACATTCTACAAACAAAATGAGGGTACCCCAATTGGTTTCTCTCCTATCGCCAGTGGTAGCGAATGTTTTCATGGAGAAATTTGAGACAGATGCCATCCAGACATCCACCCTACGTCCTTCCTTGTGGAGGAGATACATAGATGACACGTTCGTCATCTGGCCACATGGCCTGCCAGCACTGAACCAATTTCTCAACCACATCAATTACATACACCCGTCTATCAAATTCACCATGGAAGTGGAAAAGGATGGCAAGCTACCATTCCTAGATGTTTTGATCGAGAAGAGACCTGATGGCTCGTTGGGACAATCGGTCTACAGGATAGCCACCCACACGGATGCATATCTAAAGCCTGACTCCCACCACCATACAGCCCAGAAGAATTCCCTCATCAAAACACTACACCATAGGGCCCATTGCATATCCGACCAGGACCACCTAGCTAGTGAGTTGGAGCACGTAAATCAAGCCCTCAGGATGAACGGATACTCGGACCGTACAATCCGCAAAGCTGTCTCCCCAGCCATGGGGAGACAACTTTCTGAGGATCCAACCAAAACCATCACTTTGCCATACATAACAGGCGTTACCAAAAAGATTGCCAAAATCTTAAACAAACACAACATCCAGGTCCGATTCAGTACAGTACACAAAATCCGTGATCTAATCCCATCTGTGAAGGATGTC